TACATCGAAAATTTCTGATTTTGAGAAGGCATTTGGCAGCGTGGATAAGAGAACATCATGGAATCTATGCAAACACTACCAAATACATCAGAATATTGTCACCATCACACAAAACTATTACAACAGACTACACTGCGAAGTCACATTTAAAACTTACTTACACACTTACGCCTGTTACTCCTCCTGAAGGAACATAGGCCGCTCACACTCCTCACTGATACATTCAAAATGAAGACTAGTGTCAGGAAAGCCTACCCACTCACTCACTCACTTAATCTTCCTCACAGTCGTTCACTCGATCGTGAAGACAGCCATAATATTAGTAGAAGCATGGATCACAATAAACAGCTTGGATTCACCTAGACGATTCGGACACCACAGACAACCCACAACTTCCATTCCACATATAGTAACCAATTCCGAATTAAAAATAGCTAGTGATGCATCAGTCTCTTTACTAGTAGACCGAAACAAACACAAAGGAAAGTGCAACAGCCTAAATTTCAAGATAAGCAGTACGAAACAATTGACACTTGATGGTCAAGTTCTGGATGTGGTGGAAACTGACATGCACTCGAGCAATATCACTGTTAAACAAAGATGTGATGTAGATGTGAATACATGGATTGGTTAATCAAGAAGAGAATTCCTATGGTTTATGAATATCTGGGACTCAAAACAACTGTCAGACAACATCACAGTCAGAATTTTCAGTACAAAGGTTAAAACAGTTTTACTGTACAGAGCTGAATTTCGAAGAATTATTTCAACCATCACCAGAGATTTCAAGGTGTTTATAAACTATTTTCAAACCCTTTTAAGATTAATATAGAGTATTAAATGATTATTTCAGTGAGGAAAGTGTTAAAATTATGATAAGAAAACTACTACATATATAGTATAAACTCAACAAACCACAGCCCAATAAATACATACTCAGTGGTCGAAATAACTCCGCCTGTAGCTCTTTTAGAGTTACTACCGGTCACAAGCCCGGGTAAAGGAGGAGGGTTGGGCATGGGGTTAGCGTCCCCATCCCGTAGAAAACTAACTCGCTAAAAAAACGCTTACCAGAAAAAATAATCCAAACCATTTAAACTCTGCCCTGGGAGCTAGAAGGTGTTCAGTTAGAAGAATTATGACGCTTCATGGTGAAAGCCGAGTTCATTCGGAAGCCACGAGGCCGATGCCCCTTCTAACAACCAGAGCAAAAAATTTTATAAGCACATGGACCTTCCGAACAATGTGGGAGACCGGAAAGACCAGTCAAATAGAAACGGAAATGAGGAGATACAGCCTGTCAGTACTGGGAATCAGCGAAACTCCCTGGACCCAAGCTGGCCAGAAAAGGCTAGCTACGAGAGAGATGCTGCTATACTCCGGTCACGAAGAGGACAATGCTCCACACACTCAGGGATTTGCTCTTATGCTGTCCAAACTAGCATGAAATGCACTTGTAAGATGGGAATCTCACGGATCCAGAAGCATCATTCAAAACAAAGAAGGAGGGGATCTTAATGAATATTATCCAATGTTATGCACCCACCAATGATAGCAACGACGATATTGAAGATCAATTCTACGAGCGGCTGCAGTCAATCATAGAGAAATGCCCGAGATAGGACCTCATTCTGATGAGAGATCTAAATGCCAAAGTTGGAGTAGACAACACCGAATATGAAGACATCATAGGACGACATGGACTGGGACAGAGAAACGAAAATGGGGAAACATTTTCACATCTATGTGCATTCAACAAATTGGTCACAGGGGGCACAATATTTCCACACAAGCGTATACACAAGGCTACATGGATCTCACCGGACCACACTACAGGGAACCAGATAGATCATATTTGCAACAATAAAAAATTCCGAAGGACAATGGAAGGTGTGAGAACCAGGAGAGGAGCTGACATAGCTTCAGATCACTATCTAGATAGCTCTCAACAACAGGTTCCAAGCCTTACAAGATCTACTGAAGGAAGGAGAAACTACTATGGAGGACAACCGGAAAGGCATCAAAGAAGCATTAACTTCAACGTGTCAAGAGGTTCTGGGCCTCAAGAAGCATAATCTTAAGGAATAGATCACTATAGAAACAGTAGAAAAGATCAGAGAAAGGAAGAACTAGAAGGCAGCAATTAACAACAGCCGAACACGAGCAGAGAAAGTTCAAGCACAAGCTGAATATGTAAAAGCAAACAAGAAAGTGAAGAAGAGCATTAGAGCTGACAAGAAGAAATACATGGAAGAACTAGCAACGACGGCGAAAAAAGCTGCTAGAGAAGGAAATATGAAACAGCTTTACGATACAACGAAGAAACTATCAGGGAAATACAGTAAACCAGAGAGACTGGTCAAGGATAAAGAAGTCAGGCCAATCACTGAAATTCAACAACAGCGGAACAGATGGGTAGAATACTTCGAGGAACTCCTGATTAGGCCGGCTCCAATGAATGCATACACAAAGGGAAAACCAAAGTCCTCAAATTCAAAGCGGAAAACAACAATCCAATCACTCTTGATGGCGAAACTCTGGGAAATATAGAATCCTTCGCATATCTAGGAAGCATCATCGATGAACAAGGAGGCTCAGATGCAGACGTAAAGGCAAGGATTGGCAAAGCAAGGGTCACAATCCTACAATTTAAGAACATGTGGAACTCAAAACAACTTTCAACCAATATCAAAGTGAGAATCTTCAATACCAACGTCAAGGCAGTTCTACTGTATGGAGCCGAATCTTGGAGAACTACAACAACCATCATCAAGAAGGTACAAGTATTTACAAATAGCTGTCTTTGCAAGATACTCAACATCCATTGACCGGATACCATCAGCAACAGCCTTTTGTGGAAGAGTACAAATCAGCTTCCAACTGAAGAAGAAACTAGGTGAAGACGATGGAAATGGATAGGACATACATTACGCAAACCATCAAACTGCATCACGAGACAAGCCCTAACTTGGAATCCTGAGGGGAAGCGGAAAAGAAGAAAGCCTAAGAACAAATTACGACGGATAATACAAGCAGATATAAAAAGGATGAATAGGAACTGGAAAGGATTGCCCAGGACAGGGTTGGATGGGGAATGCTGGTGAGCGGTCAATGCTCCTTCACTAGGAGTAACAGGCGTAAGTAAGTAAGCGGTGGTCAAAGTATAAAGTTATTGACAACAAAGCCTTAAAGTTTCATGTTTGATGCTTAGCGAGGTCGTAGACGACATTAGCGGATGAGTTTTAAGCTAGTGCAAGCGACTAGTTGGTACCTCTCTGAGAATTCACTGGTTCCTCAAATAACGGTAGTCCACAAATAAAAATACTATCAATTCAGAAAAGACAGTAATTTTCAAGAAGAATTTATTCACTAAAATTGTTCTATATGAAGGCGTTTTTCATTAAGTATTAGTAATAACTATTACTTGATGGTCCCTCAAACGTATTCGGTTCTTGATAAAAATAATTTTCACACGATCCATTTATGATTAAAGCAAAAAAATAACATGGAAAAGTGATGATTTAGTTTACCCAATAGTTATACCGATAAAACTCTATTTAGTAACCATTGTGACATTATCTGTTCTTAAATACTAATCAAGTCCCGATGGCTAACTCTCTTATTAAAAGTTAATAACCGAAAGATGTGCATTTTAATTTTATACTTATAGCCACATATCAGTACGTTTCTGCTATTGCACTTATTCGAAGAAAATATACTAGCTCTACTCATGTCTTTCGTAATTTTTTCACAATATTCTTCAAGTAAATGAAAAAAATTTATCAAAATGAAATCAATATTTTTGGTTTATTTAATACCAGCAGATCTTATACTAACGTTTTTCATTAGGATGTTATGAAAATAAAGTTCTAAACAAAACCGAAAAATGTTTTTTTTTTGATAATTCCTTATAGTTTTCAAAGTTATCTGTCATAGACACAAGTAATTCTAAAGACTCATGAAAATAAAATACTTATTAGATACTAAAACATTCAGTAAAATCGAATACTAATATTGTTATTAATAGCAAAATTATGAGATTTATTATTACACTCCCTAAATTATTGACCTAACTCGATAATCAGGTACATATTTGTGAACTCTGTTTTGTCAACCCACTTTTATCGTGAACTTGAAATATCACCAGGTACAAAGTAGGTGTACTAGAGTTCGCACTTATAATCTAGTAGTTGGAAGTAAGTACTTCAGATATAGAGATATCTAGTTAACATTTTTTTGTTAGTGGCAAAAGCTTTCAGCATTTGTAATTAAGTAATGTTATAAAAATTTAACGTTAGGAACTCTATAAATTATCTTGACCTTACTATCACCCATACTAATCAATGAGCAAAAACTGTCATCAGTTTTCTAATGGTTTATAATTACCCCTTTTATTTTTCAGCACATCATTTTCACTATAAAGTCAATGTTATTTGAGAGAACAGTTAACTCTTGTGTCGTTTTTTAGATCATACTATTACATATAATTGCATCGCATGAACTAATCAATAATTTTCTTTTCAAATTATTCCATTTTCACTGTGTGATTGTGCAAGAAAATTTTATTTATTACTCTTTGGTTGGTTAAAGGCATTTTAATTCAGAAAGTATTACATCAACAGTCAGCTTCAGGGCCACACTGGTTATTTAATAGTTGACTACAATAGATGGTTACCCTAAACAAAGTGGGTTCTGATCTATGACCTGCTGATTAGAAGTTGATTATTTTAACCCTTAAGATATTTTGTTCAGCATTATGACCAATATTCACTCTTACATTTCATGAAACAACAATAATCCACACCCAATCCTAATGATATAATAACATCGTATAACTCAGAACTATATTGCAACAAAGCATGAAGACTTATGAAAACAGTCAACCTTAAAAGATCATACCTTTAGCTGCCAATTACAATTAATTTTGAAAAAAACATTGCCAATTACTAATATTCAAAAATACTTTGAAGATTTGGTTCTTTCATAAAGAACAAACTTGGTAATTAGTAATTAGTTTATTTCTTATACTTTTCGATTGAAAAAAATGTACTATATTTGAACAACTGTAAAACAGGTGAAAATTGACAAAAAGACAAATAGGTTCTTAATAAAAACATGTTGAATAACAAAGATAGAAAGAAAACTAGAGTACTTTAGTACAAAAACCAAGTGTCTACAAAACTACTATTATTGATGAAACAATGATATGGGATAAAATTATTATTAGTGGTAGTATTGATAATACGGTATATATTAGATAATACAAGAGAACAGAAAACAGAAGCAACAACGACAATAACAACACACATTGTAAATTACAAAACTTTGTACACAAGCTGCACTCGGGAAAGACACATATATATTGAAAAAGTATATACACCAACAAATAACTTTGTCATGAGAGAAATTATGCAAAAGAAAACAAAATACTCAGAATATACCCAACAATGTGAATTGATAGTCATTGATTGCATATCTGTTGTATATACAAAAAATAAAGATGTAAGATGTGTACTGGTAATAAAAAAACATTATTATTTTGATCATTATTGTTGTTATCATTATTCATGAAGCCGTAAGTCAGCAATTTGAATAGTGTGACAAACAAGATTTTGAACAAGTAATAGATAATACAAACAAATTTAAAAAATAAGTAATATTATTTTCATAATAATATATTCTTCTGTTATCAAGTTCTATTTACAAGAGTTGAGACATCATTTGTACATATTAGAATAGCTTTACTATAGTTAGAATTTTCATTCATAATGTTTCCCGTTATGTTAGTAAACTCTGTTGACTTATTCATAAACTTATTGATTAATTCATAAATACTCTGTAAGCGTTTCTTAATACGTAGAGCTGATAAACGTGAATCTGGTTCGGTTGTCCAACATTCTGGTAATAGCATAGCGAAATGACCTGCAATTAAGTATTGCAACATTATAATTCTTAACTTATTTGGATCAGGTGGTGGTTCTTTACTGTTGGAATTCAAATCTGTATGATGACTTTGAAGTGAAGAAGCGCCTGAAGATGAATATTCTCGACAAATTGCAGAAGCTAAACAAAAAAAGTATATGCAAATGAAGAAAGAATTTAGAATATGAAATCATCAATAATAATAATGAGCAAACTTCTGGATGAATGAGTCTTATTCATAAATGTAGACTGAGATAAATAAATCTAGTTCTAACAATTTCTGAAAAGATGACGAAAACGTACGACAAAATACTATCTTGTTAAACAGACTATCACTTCCATATATAAATATGTAATTTGGTTTACGATGAACTTAGAACGCACGAAACGTACAAAATTTATCTGCAAATTATGATCCTCCTAAAAAGGCGGATGGAAATTGTTGAATGCCGCAGAGATTACAAACCAACCTAAGCTAAGTCATTTAAAACCAGGAAGCAATAGACAGCTAATTTTCGTCCTAGTACGGGATTCCTCAACAGTGCACATCCACGAACTCACGAAGGCGTAAATCTATAGCCTTCACGTCAATCAGAGAGCCATTAACTTTTAAACTGGTGCTTCCTAATTTTCAATGAGGCTTACTTACGTTGGTTTGTAGACTTTAAAAAGACATGACTGAAAACAGTGAATCCTACCAAATTTTCGAAGTGAGAAGTTAATAATAATAACCATGTTCAGGTTTACAACATAAAACCTTATTTTGTGAAAACATTTTTTTAACTATGAACCAAGTTCAAAATAACTTTTTGATATTTATTCCTCGTACAGTTCAACAATAGTGTGGGATGATGTTGTGTTGGGAATAATCTGCAATAGTGCCCTATCAATCTTAAGTTTATAGTTCACTTCACTTCGGTTTGGTCTGGACATTTAAGCTATATCAGTAGTTTGTATAAAAACATATAATCTGAAGCTAATTAATTGAATCAATGTTTTTTAACGGGTTACACCAATTGATTCACAATAAATCGATCAATTTATAGATAAATATTTCCATTAAGTTTTTTATCCTGTAACATGGTTATTTCAATCACGAAATAATGGAATTTTGATAAATAATGGGAAAATATTCTGTGATTAGAGTAAGAAGAACTGAAAATGAAAATTGGTAGTTCAAAGTTAATCTGATTCCTGGACGGCCACTTCTTACAAGTTAAAATTCGATTACGTATAAGTAGTATGAATATTATAACTCAAGATCTACATGGAGAATAAATAAATCCATCTGTCCCATTAGATTCAATTTTCGGCCCTGTCATCTACAGTTTTCATCCTCATATTATATCCATAATTATTCGTCTATATTAACCAGAATACAACAGCAAAACATCATCTTCGAAAAACAAACAGAACAAATCAAAACTCAACAAATTCTTTCTTTTTAAACCCATATTACTAAGGGAACTCATGTAATTATGGATAAATTTCAACCAGTATATGCTACCATTTTGTACATTAGGAAATATACTACACTTTTATGAGGTAACGTAATGTGAATTTGATTGCAAATTTTTCTGTTTACTTTGAACTTTTCTCAAACCAAATAAACAGGCTTTGGGTTTTCTTTCTTTTCGTAAAGAAGGTAAATGTATTTTTCACACTTAATTTTATCGATGTTATTCATTTAACTTAAATGAAAATTAAATATTACAAGAAGATATCTTTTAAGGAACAAACAAACATTCTTAACGTACATCAATAAAATAATGAAGAAGCATATCATTCATGCACGAAATACGAAACTAATACCATTAAAAAAGCAACATACAGCGGGTAGTTTCTTAAGAAAACAAACAGATTGTTAGTTATATGTATATATGAAACAATTAACTGACAGTAATATATTAAAATCTATTTAAAAATAGACCTAGATAAAAGATTTCCCCTGTTATTTTGTTTTCTCTTTGAAAAATATATCACACAACCTCACATAAACAGAATATACATATATAAATACACTCACATATACATCTATTCACGTATACTTAGTCATAAAACAAAGAATTAAACAAAAGGCATAACGATGATAAAAAGGAAGGGTGGTAATAAAGGAAAGTGAAGGAAAAAAAGAGAAAAAATTTAACAAAAAAAAAGAATTCAATAACAACAGACCACGCCAAACGACAACAAATTGCACTCCTAAAGAAACATGATAAACACTCAATCTTTTTTCATTTACAAAACAAATACACAATAAAATCAATAACTCATCTGGGATAGATGTACACATAAATCTAATAACCACCTAGTTAGGTATATGAATGATACTGAGCGATGGAAAAAAATTGACAAAACATTAAAAGTTCATATTAACCATTATTTTGCTATTGAAGCTAATATAAGAATAGTCCGAACATGATATATATATATATAATAGTTGATTCCCCCAGCTAATTATAATGATAAGTATACTAAACGAAAACTGTCTCATACATAAGTAAGTAGAAGAATGTAAACTTATTGAGTGAAGTTCATTAAAACCACATATATACTGACCATTTTGTAGTTATTGTTGCATGAATTTCAGTTTACATCAAACAGTTATTTATAATAAAAGATACAGAACGACAAATTCATTCCATTTTAACTCTACAGATTAGAAAAAATATTTCACTTTTCAGTAGTAGCAGTACTACTAGTAGCTGTAGGGATAACTTTAACATGATAATTATCAGCATGTGTCAAATTATCCCATTGTGGTAATACAAATAAATTTGACATGAAATACAACTGTCCATTGTCTCAAAGGGTTCTTAATAAAAATATTTCCTAGTTGATGTCAAATTATAGTAAAATGGAAATCTTTATATTATTGAGTATTATAAGACAGAAATATGCGGATAGGAGAATTAAGTTATTTATAATATCTATGTAACTTGGAATTCATAATAATTTAGAATATGGAAAATAATACAACGCCGAGTACCGAGGTGAGGTTCATACAACAATACATAACTGAAGTTTGACAAATTTTATTTACAATACTAATCGCAAGCGATAATAAGAGTTTCATTGTAATGAATGGTCAGAATTACCTAGTTAAGAGATTCTGCATGGTCAGATTATGTATATCTCATACGATAGGTTTGATGAATACAGAAATCTTTATCATGACAAAAATCTAAATTCATTTCTAAATTAAAATATGAAGCCTTTTATTTTAACTATTCATATATATATATAGTCCACAACTAGACAAGAATCGTTTAATCTTCATTACTATGACATGTAAAATATTATCATATATTTAAAGTGAGTTTTCATGGAGTTTTTTTTACAATTTTATGTTAGTTTTCGTTATACACTTCTAATTAGAGATCAACCGAAAAAGGACGATCAGTATGAATATGAAAGCAAATGAAAATAAAAAAGCTTACGAAGGCGAAAAATCACAAGCGAGGCCATAAGAATGAACTAATGTAACTTATTTGCTCACTTTTACACGAATTAGGTGCAGATACTGTCCAGAATGATAATGAAAGCTCTGTAATCGAAACACCTAGCCCAGAAAAAACACCACCAAAAGCATCCGTCTAAGCTGCAAATCTTCGTCATCATTTCGAACGGCCGACATTAACTAATGACATGTTCAAAAACAAGAGAACACGATAGCCTCTGCAATTCAGTCTTAGTCTTCCACAAGCTTATAACCCCACATAGGATCAAACCCAGGACCTTCTGGTTTTGCGGTGAGCATGTAGTCTTTAGACTATGGTATCAGCCACTTAAAAATATGTGGGTCTCCTTAAGTTAGTATACCATATCATAAAGAATTATCAAGAAAAACGCCAAAGTAGGAGAGGTAATAACAGTACCAAAGATAATAGAAAACAATTTTTATAGTCTGTATGATTCGAATTGTCATGGATTTGAGAAATAAAATGTGTAAGATAACTCTAAATCTAATGGAGGACAAAGAGTAAATGCTTATAAGCAATTGCTAACAATTCTGAGTCTTATTACGCAACATCTTTAGCCATCAATTACGACAATCGCTTAAACCCCAACCATGTAGTTAGCACAAACCATAGAATCGTAATGCAATGGTTGACAAGTTTTTTAATAAAAGTTCTTGACTACCCCTAAACATCTATATCTTTCAAACCGGTTTCTAGTTGGAAGTAATGAAATGTATTCTTATTTATTTTATATAATCATCTTCTCTGTACATAACCAAACGTAATGTTTTTTAATCATTAGAGCAATCTCGAAATCATGATACCATTCATTTTAATTTTTGTAGACATTTAAGTCGCTATATAAACATATTTTTAATGAAATAAAAAACTATTTACTGAATAGTTGACTTTCTTGTAAAAAAGAAATATTTCATCCTTCAACCTAATTTAAACCATTATTCATCATCATTGTATATACATAAAATGTAATTTGAAAAGTAGCATAGTTGGTTACAGTGCTGTACTTATAATTTGAAAAGTAGGATAAATATCATAAGACACAAAAAATAAGTTACCAAATCCAGTGTTACCTAATGACAGTACACCTCTAGAGGTGAATCAGATTGGATTAAGTCATTCTGACTTTTACAGTACGAAGATTAATTTATTCTGCCATATCACCATCAGTAGTCATACAGTTACTTTACTGCACGAAATTCGTAGCAGTAAGCGACCAAGAATGACCACATATAATGCTTACTCTCAATCTTGTAGAGGCAATTAACACTTTAATGACATAAAGTATGCACCGCACTTCAAACGCCAATTACTGGCTACTTAAATGCTATTTGAGTAGCCTGTAACTTGACTTACAGGGAGACAAAATCCCTTGCAAACAAGCTTAAAAGAGAAAGCGAAATAACACAGAATAGTCACTAAGGGTAAACTTTCGGTAGTTTTCTTACTAATCTACAGATCAAGGGAACAAGATTGACTTCATTTAACCCACAAATGCTTCAACGAAGCAAGTTCTTGACATCTAACTGAATTAAGTAAACGAAAATATTTTATTTACAACTGACTTTTGCCTATTTCTTTCAATATGAAGAGGCATTTTTAGCGCACAATCATTCACTTTAAATCTCTCTTCATCACAATATTTAATCGACGATCGATGCCAACGTATTAGCACTAATGATAGACAAGTAAGTACGTGACTTCGGCAACCGATTAACATTATTCAATACCATTTTGTTCAGAAAATAAAAAGCGATTAAAATGCCTAGAAATCATATGCATTTTATTGTTTTTATTCAGAAGGCGAATTCTAATTATAAATTATTCAATTCCAGAAAAATCACATTCAGTTAATGAGCATTCAATTGTCGATATATATAATGTCAAAATCTCAATAATGAATGAACATCAACACTGAGCTGCAACAATATTCAGCTAACGACTCCTAAAAAGAACAAACACATATGTCCTAGATTCTGCCTTTAGTAGTCACTACTCAACTTTAATGGATTTCCTGGAGTTCTAGAGAGAAGCAGTGATCAGTGGAGTTCAATCGGATGTTATGAGATAGCAACTCATTGAAGACAATCATGGATGTGTCGCTCAATTTCGTGAATTAGTTGTAGTTAAACATTAACACCGCTGGATACTGGCCAGCTCAGTGGTCTAATGGTTAAGCGCTCGCGTGAGAGATTGATAGGTCCTGGGTTCGAACCTCCTGAGGTGAGGTCGTAGATGCGTACTGCTGGGGAGTCCCACAATAGGACGAAACGGCCGTCCAGTGCTTCCAGGTTTTCCATGGTGGTCCGGCTTCAATTCACTCATGATCTCAACCATTGAAATAAATGTAATATTAGTTGATTAGTTTTACACTGTCTTATCATTATTATTATCTCCATTACTTTACTTTTATTACCTATCCATTTATTATACTGTATACTGACCATAATATATAAATGTTTCATTACATTGTAAACTTTCAATTATTCTATTGTTGTATCAATAAAATTTTCTATAATTATAAAATTTATTTTAAAAACCAATAAATATTCTAGTAAATTAAATTATTTTAATAAATTTTTCCGACTATAATAATAACTCAATTTAGTTTATCAAATTCTTGTATTTATTTGTAAAGATTGTATAGTATCTAATATATAATGAATTCACTTTATTCTACATAATATTTAGTTATTACTGCTTTATAATGATAATAGTAATAATAATAATAATAATAATAATAATAATAATAATAATAATGAGTAATATATACCAACAAAATTAATTTTTTATGGAATTTAACTACATCATAGATAAATGTATACATGTTCATTAAAATTTTAACTCTAAAAATAAACGAATATTGACACTCTTAAAATAGTATAAATACAAAAATAAAGTAATACATTATTGATATACTAAATAATTTCATGATCATAGTTTTCATATGAAAACATAACAGATTCTAATAAGAAACAAAGTAGATTGTTTAGGATAGAAATGAAATCTAATAACCTAGAGGCTTTAAATTTATAAATTTTCCTTGGTTTTACTAACATTTTTGTATTGATTAATCTCTCTCTCTCTCTCTCTCTCTCTCTATATATATATATATATATATATATATATATATATATATATATATATATATATATATATATATAGACCGCATTTAAAACTTACCATATTTTTACGCAAAAGGTAAATAATGCTAATACAATTAACCTGATTTACTATAACTTATTTCGATGATGCACTGAGAAGACGAAGTTTATCAGAATTATGTGATATATTTGTGCAATACATTTCGGACAATCTGATCACACATAAACTTGTTAAGACATTTTTATATGAAAGTTAAAATGTCAACTAGACAGGTTAAGGGTAAGCAGTAACATTGTGATTACCACTCTGGACAATAAATCAGTATTACCAGGGTAGGTTAAGGGTAAGAAAAAATCGTTTTTGAACGCATAAAGAGGGTTTCAGTTTCTGTATACCTAAGGCTTTAATTAACCTTAGTACACGTTGTTTAAGGTTTTTGTATAACACTACAAATGCTAACTTGATATCAACCTTATGACCAGTTTCAATCAAATGTTTAGCAGTGGAGGATGATGTCCCTCTATTCGGTGATCTTATTTGTCAAATACAAATTCATGTACTCGATTTTGATCCACAGTTTATATGTGAGAGTTAATGATGCTAACTGTCTAGTCTAACCAAAATAGATGAGACGAGACTGGAATCTGAAATTTAGTGATCAAAGTCTGAACGTCTTAACCATTAAGCTGTTAATTCACAGTACAAATTCATAAATACAATATCATAAGTCATGAAGAATAAATCAAACCATGAATAAAATATAAATTATCTACGGGAGAGAATATATAGACTCTACTTACTTAATTTATTATTTACATGAAATATATCCACCGTATTATTATTATTATTAACATTATTATGTAACTGCACAATATTTTTAGTTAGCATTTCACAAAATGATTGAATATTTTGATGAGAATAATCATCTATTATCTTTGTTTCATTAGTTATATTGATGGGAAAAGATGTTGGTATACGTGGTCTTAATTGTTGTTTACACACTAAATAATACATTGTCCCCAAGTCTGGTTCTTTATTCTAAAATTATTAAAAAAAATGAATAAATAAAATGAATTTAAAGGAATATTAGTAGTGAAACAAATGAGATGTGCGTGAGCATCTGGTTAGATTGTATAAAAAAGTAATATGGATAAAAAAAAATTCAGGTGACCATCTGCAAACGTATATATTGGTTTATTCATTTGGAAATATATATAAAATCAACAGACATTAAGCTAGTGGCGGCAATAAACAAGCGCCTAAATTTCAATTAGTTCAATTTGATTGCCATAGAGCTAATTTCTTAATCATAATAGAAAATAACATTTTGAAATGAAAATGTTTAATTGATAAAACTTGATTGGCACAAAAGTCTAGACAACTTGACGTTAATTACTACCCAGTAACTGGTCATTTTTATATATAGTTCCTTATAAAGTGTTAATTGTTCTGTAGCAGGTTTAATAGTAACATCCCTAACGATTACGCTAAGTGAAATTAATTTGAATGTCTAAAAGTTAATCAGTTACTAGTAAATTTTACATACAACATGTCATGACAAGAGATATTTTGATTCTTAGTTTCATGCGTATCATCAAGAGATCAACTTATTGACTTAGAATGCGCAGATAATATAGCTTTGTTAAACAAAGAAGCTGAAAAATACAGTCTTCATATCCCATTAATCCATAATGCTGCAGGACTGGTCAGACCCAGTGGTTGAACTGATAATAAGGAATGAGATAACTAAACTCTTAAGCTAATTCACTGACAGTCGAGGTTTCATCAGACCTGGAGCGTTTCTTTAGGGTAAAATTCGGTATAGATACGGAAATCGCGGTCGGCTCTTACCAATTGGCGTCACATGTGGAGTAGGAGAGATGTCTGTCTCTCAACCAAAAAACAAGTTCACTGGACAGAACTTCATTCTGTTATTTTACACGGATATCAAACATATCCATTAGGAAGGGTGGGTACTCTTAGGTTACTAGTATTCGATTATACGTGTTTCCAAGGAATTGATCGCGTTTTTCGGAGCCACCTTGACATCAATACTAAAATTCACCAAATATTACTAGGTAAGGATGGTAAATTAATTGATAAGGTCCTGCTTCTGTGTTAGCCAAGGTGATTATGATATTCCTTATGTTACTGAACCACCGACCACCTTGACGAGCAATGCTGTACGGTGCAAGAATAGACTCAAAGAGAACCAAGGGTGCCCTAAATAACACATGGCATCAGTCCATTTAATCAATAACAATCAAACTGGGTCACGTAAGTACGTGCAATTTATCCGGTCAAGTTTTTTGCGAACATGGAAACCAGTGACTGGACACGTTAGATAATATAGCTTATATTCGCTCGTAATAACACAGATGCATTCACTCTTTGTTTCATGTTAGATCCTGAGCCCTAAAATTTCTTTATATATTTTTCCTCTTCACACCTAATTGTTTCTATTAATCCTAAGAGTGTTACTATTTCTACTACTTTTGAATTTGTCTTGATAATTTCATTTCCTAACGCATATGTATATGCCAAGTGATACGCTGGTCATAACGTAACTGACTGATCAAAGTTTGACTAAAAAAGAATTAAAGCATACTTAGTTTGACAAACTCAATATGTCATTTACAAAACTATAATAATCAGGTATTAGTCATTTTATACATTACTACACAATATATTCATATTCTGAGCATTTTAGAAACAATAAAATTTTGGATTTTAAGAATATCAACTGCAAAGCTAAACTCACTTTCAATTGTTCATCTAATGAAATTTCATTCACTATGCACTGTGATGCATCTATTGTATTGATGCATTTAGATTTGGCCAAAGATCCAGGAGTATAATTACAAAGGGATGTAGCCTGACAAAGTTGTGGGTTTGAATTGCAATTTGACTTTATGTTATATCCATTAATATTATTGAGCGAACATTTTGTGAAATTAATCCATTCATTTTGATAAACTGGGGAGTACTTATTTTCTTGCGATTTAGATATAAATGATGAATCAGAATATGTCAAACTCATTGAATCAACTGATGACCGCCTTCTAGACAATGAACAATCATTAGGTATGGAATTTACATCGGAAAAATCTTGGCCTGGCCAAATAGACTTGGGAAGAGCCCAATTAACAACTTCCCATAAAATTAAAGCTAATGCGTATATGTCAGATTTCTGATAGGATTCAAAGCAAAATGGATTGATCGATTTGGAAAGCAACTGAAATCAAGATAAGTACAGTCAAATAATTTTTAATAAATGTGGATAATATACAAGTGGTTAACAAACATACAAGTGCATTGAACAGTATATTTATTCAGTTAAGAAAAAACGAAATACCGTTGCATTCACATGTTCTTATCACTGACTGATTACGGCAGACCTCAAAATAAGTATACAGCTTTGACTAAAACAGATATATTCAACATCTATAGTTTAACGTGAAATAAACACAACTAGATCGAATGTCGTTGAAAAACTGAATCGGTTTCTTACGGGAGATGAAATATTCAGACAACAATAAATGATCTTCTTTGAAGAATTATTGAAGATAAAAATGTGAGTATGACCACTAAAATATTATATCAAATAATGCAAGTAAATACACATCAGTAGTTGTCAACGATCAGTTCGAGGTGAGTGGAGACCTAAAGATTATAAAACCTACAGTTTAGCCGTTGTGTTACCAATTCTAGACCGGCTCTACATAAGTATCCTATAGTTAAGATATATGCAATAGTCCAGTTATTGAGTTTATGTTCAAAGAATAAAATATGAAAAATTCATATCTAAGCTGGTCTTCATAACTAAATGATGAAGAAACAATACATTATAGTATACGCTATATGAAATGGATGGATAAAATGTAACTTGATTCTGGACTTACTTCTGGAGCCATGTATCGAGGTGTCCCAATTTGTATTCCTCCTATTGGCCACCACTCTAAAAGTTCCAACTTATCAAAATTCCATTTATCCAGTAATCCCGAAGTCTGACTACAAGGTTCATTCAACTGATCTCCACGGACAGTCTCTTTCAAGAAATTTATTTTAGTAGTGTCAAGTGATTGACTCTTGAATGGAAAAATATCAACTTGTTCAGAAGGTGTATGATTTTCATTTGGACAGTTATTCAAATGTAAATATTTCGTTGTATAATCTGTGTAATAATGATAAAGTTTATGTAACTGGTCTACAGAAAATGGGAAAGGACATGGTGGTAATCGAACACTTAATCCAATATCCCCAATACAACATGACCAATCCGAACGAACATATATATTGGATGGTTTTAGATCACGATGAGCAAGAGCTGGTTTCCCTCGTGTGCCAGCAAATTCTAAAGAGAAAATGTTCAACAAATAGATCATATATTACATCATGTTCAAAACGGTTAAATGAATATAGATAATAAAAATGATAGAAGGAAAAGTAGATATTTCCAGTTTTGAGACTTTCACTGTTATATTTCCTTTATATCATTCTGTCTGCAAAGACGAGTATAAGCACATTTTAAACATAAGATCATTACAAGTAAGGAAAGTTATTTTTAAACAAACCCAAAGTATATCGAACAGAAAAGATTTAAGTAATAAAATATATCCACTTGGTATTGTTTGCTTGTATCTTCCCATAGTTGTTTAGGACTGCAATCGATCAGTCTCTTATTGACATATGTGCATCCAGTGCGGACTGCCTCGATATATCCTTAAGTCCCAAGCTTTATGAGTAATGATGTATGGTGGCTAACAGTGGAATCTAGGCCGCACGTTTCGTCCTGTTTGGGACTCATCAGCTGGATGCACCTGCATTCCAGAGTTGATGTTCACTCCTCCGACCGTTGTTGCCACCTTGACGTGGTGGTCGAGCTTGCCTATCGTGGTGGAGCAACCAAGCTTTACTGGCTGGAACAACCGTTCCTCAAGGTCCTACCATGTCGGACAGGTCGGTTGAAGAGCGGTAAGACTAAAAGCAACAAACTCAAGGTCCGAAGGCGAAGTCGTACTGCTGACTGTACAGAGGTGTGACAGCAGTAAGGTGTTTCCTTCAGACAACCAGCATGACAGTGATGCTGCCTTCCCACAAGGAGGGGTGGAGTTAGAAAAGGTCGAGCCTAAAAATGCACACCTAGCCTTATCCCACGGATATCCGTTTCCGGCGGTAAGGTCTCAACAAGTACGGAGATAACACAAAAATTACTCATAAGAAGGTCGTGTGTGACCGACCTCAAGCAGTTGTCTCTTGAGCACTGCCGTCACGCTCTCAGGTCACTAAGACCACCTCCAATCCCATTTTTTAGGCACCTCCAGAAGAACCCTTCCACAGTGTGGGCAACCGGGATGTGATAAACGCTTTCACACCCCTAACAGCACTCAAGATCACTGACTGACTGACTGTTCACTTCGGGACTTAAAACCCGTACCTTTCTTTTCAAATGCCATCGCGTTATCCACTTAGCTGATGAGTCCTGATAGCCACAATGGGGAGATACAAGCGAACAATACCAAGTGAATTCAAACCTCACCTCATTGCACAAACAAGTGGTAGGTCAACAATAACCCATCAGCATCGAGGTCCACAGGACACGCTGTGAGCCGTATGTGTAGAAATTCGAATACTTCACTTTTACTTGAAGTTTATACTGACGATGTCGTTCAGGATAATGATGAAAGCTCAACGACCAAACCACTCGGCTCAGAGAACAAAACTCCATCAAAATCATCCATCTAAGTTACAAATCTTCTCCACTATCTCAAAACCTTTTTATTTTTCAATAGACTACTCCATTCGTTAATTGACTATCAATTCGATAGTACACCTACAGTAGATGATATTGTCGAAAAACATTTTTTGTTGAGTTGTTTTTAACTCTTCTTCAATCATATTCTTATTTCATTTTTATGTTATGAAGTCTGAAATTGTCTAGTGCATTTCTGTAGAACTATTATGATCATATACATGAACCATTCAAACAGTAAAACTGATAATTTTAACAAGAATACTTTGAATTAAATTGATTGATACAACTAATTAGATTAAAATGTTTTCTTAATTTACTGATTATTTAAAAAAAGACCAAATTTCACACGAGTTTTATTTGTTCATTTCTTTAATGTATTGAACTGATAAAACAATAAGGTTTTATGCAACTATTGCATAGAAGAAATATTAGACAATGCTTTTGCAGCTTTAAGAACTGTTCAATTTGGAATAAATATGAACAATATTGAAAATGGTCCACTATGATCTTATCTACAAGACATTCATAATATGTGGGCATTTACAGATCAAAGTATATTTATACATAATTTTCTGTTGACTGTATACAACAAATGATAAAATGAACTTTAAAGAAATACCTTAAATAACATGTATATATATAAATATATTTAGGAAATAAATAAGCTTAATCATAGCCAATACGATGACTGTTAATTCAAAAAATATAACTTAAAATGAGTCGAAAATTACACACAGTAAACACATTGTTTTACCAACAATAAAACGTATTTGCTGATATTATGTTTTAAAAATTTTTAATAATTAATCAATGAACTAGTTTTTAACAACACAACTGACGATTCTTTGCTTAATACGATACAAAGTAACATTTTATTTTTTATTTTCAATAATGAAAGAACTCTTAAAACTAAACCTTCGTCATTGTCACACATCTAGTAAAAAATCTATGAGACAAATATCCAAACATAATCCTATTTATATACACATATTAATGCACAAATAACTGTCTAAATTAATAAATGGTAACAGACACAAAAATCAATAATATTTTGCACAATATGCCAGTCAAAGATTTCATAAATATAAATTTTGGTGAAACTAGTTACATTGCCTACAAATATGAAGCCAAGTATTATTTCACTTGATGTTACTGAACGATGAATAAATTTTGAATGAAAAATAATGATTTAAATAGTATATAAAGAGCAGCAACAAATTCTTTAATTTAAAGAATTATTCCCCTATGAATTTGAAAACATTCACGTACAAATAGTACAAGCTAGAAATAACGTAATTAACATACAGAATATACGTTTATAGAAAAGCTTAGAGTGTAAGTATGATGATAATTCTTCCTTTTTCAATATTTCGTAAAAGTGAGTCATCTAGTATTTTTTGCTCAATTAGTGTGTCAGTGCTGTGTACAAGAGTGTAGTTTTCACTAAAGACTTCATTTTAATCATTCGAAACTATCTGTTTATGCTTTCTGTAAACACACTACTGTAGTTCATTCTAACTTTTCTTATGAAACCATCAGTGCTCTTAAATGGAGCATTCGGTTATCAAACAATTGCTAAAATTCTAGATATTGCACAAATATCGAACAATAAGAAGGAAATGTGGTACACATCCATGGACATGTATTCTATCCTCTGAGTAATATGAAATCGGTTGAATTTATTCTGGCTGGAATATTGATGATCAAAGTGTTTCTTTGATTAATTTTGACGAATCCATAGTTTAAATATGAAAATGAATAAACAAGAGTTTACTACAGTTTGCTGATACCAATTCGACTATATAAACAACATTGTATGCTGTGTTTCCCTTTTTTTGTAGTAAGTGAATAGTGGATATTCAAAGAATGAATTTACAGTAAACTACTAAAATATTAATTTTACAAGGTGATATTAGCCGATATGTAACGGATAGTATATATTTTAATTATTTGTTTATTAAAAAGTATATGAAATGAACTTCACTTTTATCCATGAAAGGAAATATAAAAATGATGTGTTACAAGTATCACTCTAGTCAACAGTGTAACAATCTCAGGGACGTATTATGTAACAATGAGATTGACTTATCAACTGGTGAACATATAACCTGTATATCGATAGCAAGGCGGATAATTCAATGTGACAGATATTCATTGAAGAAAATGAAAATTAAAAAAAAAAAACTTTAAAAGAAATGATTGCATTCACGACAACTCCAGGCATGGTGAGTTGAACATTGTGAAGGAACAGGATATTTTGCAAAGAAATTTAGTTCAGATCTAAGAGTTTTAACAGATTACTTACATTTAAGCTTGTTCTACCTACAATTTGAATAGACAGTCATAATGTCAGTAATTTAAACTCACTCAGCTCATTTATTCAGGTACTGATTTGTGTACTTGGCATAGAGACACTAAGTGTGGGGGTTGGTGGTACTAAATGGTTCTTCAAACTGAAGTAGGTGAAATAAGGTTTAAACTTGGTACTTAGTGAATTAAGGCCGAACCCCTTAACCACTAAGTCGCAAGTACCCGACAGTTTAGACGCTTTATAGACATCCAGTTTCAATCCCGCTAGCACGATTACTGTGATCCTTTTACCAATCTCTTCATGATTTCTGCCTAACACTCGATATCAAATGATTGTCTTAGCATTTCGAAGTAGCAAACTAATATGTATCAACTCTATTAGCATGAAAAGGATTATTTTTTCACAATGACGAGATAATATCACGTTATGTAAGAGTATATTTCTCAAGTTTAGCTTTATCCGATATAGGGACTAGTTTTCTGTAAAATTAACGTGGATGAAAACAAAATTTCGTCTGACAAATTGTTTTTTAACACTACTTTGCTTACACACATGCTTGAATTATTCATAATTCTGTGTTCAAATAAAGTGAGACAATGTACAACACTTAATGTTCCCATCCAAGTGGCTTGTTTACTATGGGTTGATTTATACGTTATGATAGATGAGATTATTGACTTGCACACTAATAATTATACATAATTTATTTAAGTCTTATTTCTCATAAAAAAACATTTATTATTAGCACTGACAGGAAGGATAATGCACGAAATTTCTTGCCTTTAATACTTGTCATAACAAAATGATAGATCTAACTATTAATTGTGAACTTTAGAATTGTAATACAATATATTAGGTGACAGTCCTGAAACTGCACAGTCATTCAGAAATGTTCCCTGAAAAATACACTGATTGAAACACAATTTCACAAAAATCTTTTGGCACAGCTATCATGTTATTTGCCACTAATACAAATTGAAAGTGCTTGAGTATGAAATCACATATTTGTGCACTACAATCGAGTACACGATCACCCACCTTTTTTCTACGCTCTCTCTCTCTCTTTGTATATATATATGCGTGTAGATATCAGTGAAACAGCATCCAATCGATCGGAAAAACTATAAATAATCATTTGTAGGAATTTTCACTACAATTTCTTGAATTTACGCAAAAAACAATGACTGCAAAATACACAGAAATAACAAAATAGCTAAAATATGTCCTTTATACATGTCTGTACAAGCTGGGCATTAAAAGGCTATCGACTGAAACAGTAGCTGTAACATTAGTGGTAGTAGTAGTAGTAGTACTTTCAGTTAAACCAGGAATACATATGCTGTATAAGCCAGTGGCATCATAAATAATTTCATGTGACTCGAATAAATGAAAGCATTACGAATGAATCACATGCTGATAATATCAAAGAGTAGGATTTAATTTTCAGATAAAATATTTCCTAGGTGGTCTAAATTCCAGATAATAACAAGCTATAATAATTTTTCTGTTTCAGTTATACCTACCTAATTAATTGATGCCTACAAACAGGACTTAATTATCCTGAAGATGAGAAATACCACAATATGTCATAATCTCTATGTTGGTTTATTTGATAGAGTTAAATGCATACAAAATCACATAAACAAGGTGGAGATAAATGTTTCCATTTTTATACAATTGAAGTTTTATTTAGAGGTAAAATTGATTTTTTTTTCTGAAATTCCAAATACGACAAATTTAACATATTAAAGAAGAAACAAATCCAGATAATTGCTCTCAGAGGAAAAACTAAGTAAAACTCTTGATGAAAATGCTTTAAGCTAAAGTTAATTGAATTTTTTGATTACCAAGTCATAAAAAAGAAATGAACTTAGTGAAAAATTAAAATCTTTGAAAATGCATATACATATTTACATAAAAATAATGATGACCATATTCAAATACTTAGGAATTTACAATCAGATTTCGTACGTTCAATAGATCTGGAAAGCATCAGTGTGCCAAAGAATTTCACATGGCTTCCATAAAATTCTTATCCCTCTAACTCATTTCAGGTACATACTAGAATCTTTATAGCTATGAACATAGGGACATATAACTAACTTGCTTATTTCCAAACCAATTTATAAATACCCCTAAAAATGTTGCAGATTCAGATATACTTATCATTTAAATTGAATCGGTGAGCACAGAATGTTTTCTATCTCGTTCGTTTTGTTGAAGTAACATAATTTGTATTGAAAAAGACAAGTACTGGAAAAAAGCCAAACTCAGGCACGTTATTAATCTTAGTAGCTCATTTACAATTATGAGAGACATTGAAGTAGACTACACAGCGAATCAGATCACTGGTACAGTGACAGAATATTACAAATGAAACGGTTAAGATGAGTTGTACAGTGCAAATAAGTCCACAATAGTCCCTAGTTGCATCATGAGTTGCAGAAACCTTCAAATTACATATCAAGTGGTATCATTAAAGCTACACACTACAACTGGGAACTCCACTCAAAAACGAATATTTTAGAGTTTCAGTAATAGATCCTGGACCTGGTAGTTAATCAAGTTTCCAACAAGAATGAGCGAATATCTCCATCTTAGTTGTGTCCACTTTTAAACCGCGATATTCTGCACTTCTAAATCATCATTCTAATAAATTATTTTCACTTTTTCATCTCATCCCGACATTACCATTTCCTTTAGTGAGGTGAATATTTTGATGTCTTACTGTATTAAGTAATTTAGTATTTTAAATAACGTTTAACAGAGAACGATGATTTTGTTGTATTTTAAGTGATAAAGCTGAAAAAATACCAACCACTTTATTATGACATACGGATTGAATTTTACCTAGCTGTTTATAAGACCAAAATGTTATAGGATATGTACCGAACTAGGTCAAAGGGGCAGGATATCGAGGATTCAGAAACTGAGATATTGCACTATCCCCTAGAATTTTCATTGGTTCTACTAGCCAATTACTGTATTTGTTGAAAACTGTCTTCAAGTTTAAAATGCAACCTGTATACAAGAAAAACTTTATTTTAAACGACCAGAAAAATCTAGTTATTGCTTGATTTTTTAGGTCAGTGAGTTTATTTCAGATATTTTTTAGAAATACGTACGATGAAGTAGTATTCATGTGGAAAAAGATCAAGGTAGTAACTTTGCTCCAATTTTACTGAACTCAATGCTAATTAGCTGAAATGACTTAAAATAAAATGGTGATTTGCTGGTAAAGTCAATGCGTAACTTTGGTGAACCGTAAATCTTAGAAAAATTAACAATAACGCATTAAAAATGGATTTTGAAACCGACCTGAATGTAAAAAGCACAGTCCTTGAACTAAGCTGTTTGTAATTTCCAGTAGTATGCGCAAGCGAATGCCGCCTCCATTGTTTGCAGCAGAGAACCGACAGTTCTGATTTGATATCACATCACAGTTTTCAAGGTCGGTATTGTCAGCCAAATAACTGGGGAAATCAACATTCCAGTCACCGTTCGACAGGAAGTCTTTTAAGGTTCCATAAGCGCATGCTTCTCCAACAAGTAAAGCACATGGTGATGAAACAGCTAAAGGTAGTTCTGAAAAGTATCGTTTGAGGATTGGTAAATGCACTTCCATAGGATAATTGAGCCAATCCACAGCCATCAAACCATGAACCCTTTGATGCCTAAGCAACACAGAACGATGTAACAAAACAGTGCGGTGCCATATGTTGCAAGTAATTCGATTGTTTGGTCGAAAAAGCTTTGCAACAACTTTTTCTCCTTTCCAAGTACCTGGCAAAGTATTATTGAAAACATTTTCAGATCTCGCGTTCAAAACGGTCTAATTGTATTTAAACCCAAAAGCAATTTAAAATGAAAAAAAACTTTCCTATATTATGACAGTTATTATGGATTATTGTTTAAACATGTGGACATAATTTTCTAATCGACATTAGGATGCAATCCTTGGACTAAAATTGAAATTCTTCCAGAAAACAGAAACTCACATGTCAGCTAGTTTTATATATAACTTTAAAAATGCAGATCATGTGGCAAACTTCCAGAAGTAACACTAATAATTACTGTTGTTGAATTATATAACGCATTCAGGTAATAAAAACATCCTAGATACAGACTAAGATGCAAACTTATTCGCAACATCAAATCAAACATGTCTACTGCTGATACTGTTACCTCTTCTGATACTCCAAGTTATGCACTAATAAGTTCATCTCACTGTGCCAATGTAGTGTGAAAAAAGTGGAAAGATGCGCATATGTGACAGGTCATATATTGAATATAACTGACTGACTTTCATCATTTCATACAATCGGAATAAAAGAGGTCCACTAAATTTTCAGACGAAAACTAACAAAACTTGACTGTAATTTCTTATTAGCACCTACTAATGGTCCATATGCAAATAGTCTGGTATGAAAAAAACCGACAAAATTCCATCCATGCTCCACAGCACAAACAACAAGCCTATAAGTTTAATTAGATTTCAAAATATGAATGAAAATCTCTGAAACTAAAGAGGTATCTATGAATACTTAAGAGAACGTTTTCTAAGTTATTATTTAAAATGTTTTTATCATCCGCTAAGTAGTTCGTAAACCGTACAATCAAGATATTGTAAAATCAGAAAATTAAAGGATCTTGAGATCAATATTTAAGTAAATACGAAAAGTATTTAGTAAACCATACAGTTGTGCCAAGAAAAATGATAAGGAAATAATCCTCTTATTTGAGGTAGCTCATGTAGCCTTGATGGAGAACACAATAAAAAGCTTCAGATGCATAGCCACTGGTTCCTATTCCAAGTGACATGTGATGTTTTGAAGAAATAAGTTGCACTACCTCTGACATTACAATTAGGGAATCGTGATAAACTCACAGACACCATCTCTATATAAATTTTATTCATACTTTCATTACCTTTAGGTAAGTAAACATGAATTAATGGACTTGTAGAGCTTTAGTATTTAAGTTTAAACAGTGATTCATATTCACTATTTTAACCATTAATAACTGTGCACGACATAACAAGAGAAAACCCTCTATTGAATGACTGGAGCAAATAAAGGTACGTTTTTCAAAATATTTGAAAACGTAATTCACAAGAACCTCCATAATTGTACACGCTCACAGTCTGATATTACGTGAAATCAAGATCACATTAAAAAACGCCCAGGTGTGGATATATGTTAAGTAAAATCTGCTAGTGCTTACTGACAGCCGATTATGAAAGGCTAGTCAACAAATATGTTCTGTTCATACACCAAAGATTTGAGTGGCCTTTGTCTATGATCTCCTAGTCACATACTTCTCAAATGACAGAATTTCCGCGACCATGTGCCAATGAAAGGATTTTTGATCATCTCAAACGCAGGAGAAATTTCGATCTGCCTGTTGAGTTTATTTGGAAACGGCAGCCCCTACACCGAGTCACAAGTAAAGTATTGGAGAAGAAGGGAGTTATTCATAACACTATACTTTAAAAAATCTGAGTTTATCTGATGCATCAAGGTGGCAGTCGAACAATACAGAGATATGTTGACGAATTCAAATGTAGGCCAGAATACGCAAATGCACAAGGGGTATATTCGTGTATATATAAATACTCTCACTTACCACTCCAAACATCCGAAAAACGCCCAGTACCCAGAAGATTCTCCAAAGTTATTTGTCTCCCAACTGTCTGAGGAATCAGATGTAAGAACTTGTTTTGGGATATGAGGTTGTCTGATGCTTGATTAGTGGCTGTACCACTGCAAAAGTTGTGTGTCAGATCGGTCAGCAGTGTATGAGGACTTGAGCCATCCTTTGTTTTATATAGCTTTTCAAACTTTGCAGAATTTGAATGCATTGATTTTAAGTCCCTATGCGAGAATCTGTGCAAAGACTTGGAGTCACACATTGTTTCCACCTCTGGAAGCTTCATCCCAGAAGAGCCTTCAATATTTATGGTAGACAGGCGTAATTTCGTCTTCTGCTTGCGACGCTTGTATGCACAGCAGACGGTTGTAAAAGCAAGAGAAAGTACAACGAACACTAAACTGAAGGTAGCAATTAATACGATCTGAAAAAGGTTCTGCATTTTGTCCTCTGAACTGATTCGATCTTTCCACAGTTTTTGCATCCGCACTTTGTTGTGGGGCAGGTTTCCCAGAGCAGAACCACCGATCAACATATCAGGACCAACGTTCATATATGGTCGCACACGGATATTTCCATTAGTATTGGATTCTTCTCTCCAGAGGCCAGTCTTCTCGAAATGTTCCAAAGCTGTTTTCACTGCATCTAAATCCGTTTCATGGTGTATAAACCTGGGAAATAAGTGAGCATTGCACATATTACTAGAGTTACAACATTCAATAGCTTGAGGGACAGCATGCTTAGTAAGATGGCTATTACAAGCTAGTGTTGTTTTATCATGTGAATCAAAACAACCATATATCAAACGAATAAACTTGTTTAAATTTCCTGGGTTGACGTTTACACTTGGTGGTGAATGGATTTGACTTCCAGCTGACGATCGTACTTGAGACCTAAGATAACGTCCTAATGCCTCCAGATTAATAACTCTCGCAGCATAACAACGACCATCAGAGTAGACAGTACAGTTTCCTATGCTTCTCCTCTTCTTATCAGATCGGTAATTTGGTTTAACGCAATGAGAGTTGTCGTTACAAGTACACACTAACCCACGAGTCCATGAGCGTTCAGATTTTATATCCGTCGATCCCGTCATGCCGACATGAATAAAAGTTATAAATTGTCATTTAGACAAAAGTTTAGGAGAATACAGTTTAGCTCCCCACATATATAGACTTTAGGAACGGAGAACACGGTTAACTGCAAAACTCTTCAAGATTGGCGGTACTTGACAAGGACGTCTATCAAAATATCTATTTAGTCAGTTTGAACAATTCAAATAGTGATGGAAAAGAAATTATAATTGCCGTAGTTCAATGGGCTAAATCAACTGAGAAAAACTGAACGCAGGTCACCTGATCTTAAGCTTTGGCTTTGCTAAGTGACTGTGCATTCCTTGGACAATACAATGTATTCCAAATAATCACCATGATCTAAGGTGAAAATCCAAACTGTACTTTGAAAGTGTAAAATATGAAGGCAATCAAGTTACCTGAGAACTAGTGAAACCACAGTTGAGCATCGAAAAATCCAGAAAAATCAGATTTCATAGAACATCTTATGATATACGTCACGATGTCCATAGACGTAAAAACCAACTTAATGTGTCGATTTATAGTTCAAATGGTTCAAATGGTTGTTGACGGAATAGAAGAGGCTTTCGGTTAACAGGCTTCCGTGTCTAGTAGCAAGGGATCACCAAATCCTCCAGGCAGGAACCTAGGTATGTTAACAATAAAACAGGAAAGCAAACTGATAAATCATAGTGCGGTACTATCCTTAGTCCTTAAGAATAGATCAAGTTGCCTCTTAAAGGACCCCTGAGAAGTCGCTTGTACTAGCTCGGCCATCAGCGAATTCCAGCATTTGACAACTCTTAAGGAGTAGAAGTTGTGTATGCATTCCGTTCTGCTATGTTGTGTCTCCAGTTTCTGGGTGTTACCCCTTAGGTTATTATTCGAACTAAGCTTAAGTAGGTGTTTAAGAGGATGCCCAGAAGTGTTAAGGATACTATAAGCCATCAGAAGGTCACCTCTAAGACGCCTATACTCTAATGGGTAAAGGTTAAGTGAATGGAAGCGCTCTTCATAAGGTTTAAATTTGAGTCCTCGATCTGATTTCGTGGCTCGCCGTTGAATACGCTCCAGGGTGTCCTTATCCTTTTGGTTTGAGGGGGGAAATACTATGTTTCCGTACTCTAAATGGGGACGGATAAAACTATTGGAGATTATATGGAAAGTTTGTTGTGACGGCGGCTTGCTCATATGTTGAAAGCTAATGTCCTCAATATCTGACTCCAATAAATAATATCCCATAAAACTGAGTATTTAAGATAAGCTTAATCTCCTAGTCGAATTACGGATTTACTCGAGATTATTCAGAAGCCTGAACACCAAGTAAAAATGACACGCATGGAAGATGGCTGGGAAGCCAACTCCATTTCAAACCAGGCATTACTCAATATTTATAGGCAGACAAAATAAACAACAGACATGTGATGAGTCATGGGACATGAAGTGTACACACATATACGCTCATACAAAAACAATCAAGACTGCCAAGCGAATAATTGACAAGGTCAAAATATGGCTCATGTAAAATGAATAAAACAGGATGTAGAATAAGGTATATGGGCTTGCCATAATAACTGACACTACAAGTTCTTCCGTCAAACTGCCCAAAAATGCGCTTCAATGTTACCAGCGCAAAATTTGCTTGGAAGGCATTTTTGTCACAGTTAGCGTAAGACTTTAAATCTTAGGGCACCAGGACTCCTAAATCTTTTTCGACTTGTGATACTACTAGAGAGGAGGTACCTAAGTTATAACTGTAGTTTGCGACATGTCGCAGATGGATTACTTTACACTTTGAAGTGTTAAAGGTAAGTCCGTTATCGTCTGCCCAACTTTGAAGTCGAGTCAGATCCTCCTGAAAGGCCTGTATATTGTCTTTTTTGCGTATCTCTCTCCAAAGTTTCACGTCCTCGGCAAAAAGTAATAAGTCTGACGTTACCTGTTGAGGAAGATCATTTATGTAGATCAAGAAGAGAAGAGGTCCTAGTACTGAGCCCTGGGATCCCCACTAGGACATTCCATAGCCCGAGATAAAGTGAAATTAAAGCTGACCTTAAAATGTCGGTTTTTCAGGTATGAATTGAGCCAATCGATTAGAGGTGGTCTGATTCCCAATCGTTTGAGCTTATTGATAAGACACGTATGGATAACCTTATCAAAAGCTCTTGAGAAATCTAAGTGTATGATATCAACCTTCCCCTTGTGATCAAGGGTGCTTGTCCATCTGTCCACTGCAGTCAGCAGGTTGGTAATAGAAGAGTAACCCTTCCTGAAACCGTGCTGTTAGGGTGAGAAGAAATTTAAGGATAGTAAATAGTCGTTTATACCATCACATATCAGGGACTCCATGATTTTTGAGGGTATGGAGAGAAGAGCCACCGGTCGGTAACTTGAAGGTTCTCTGCGTCGATCTCCTTTGAAAATTGGTGTGATGTGAGCAAGCTAACAATTTTCCGGTAGTTTTTCTTGACTTAGCGAGCGTGAGAACATCATACTAAGCGGCATTGCCAAGATTGAGGCTGCTTCCCTCAGTATAGTGGAATGCACCATGTCTGGGCCAGGAGAAGTTTCTAATCATAAGTGCTGCAGTTTCCGGAACACCAAGTCAGCGTTTAGGTTCACTTCGGAAAGTCCTGTGGAATCGCAAACGAAACTGTCATCAGTAAAGTTAATGTCGGTCGGTTGAAATGTCTGGGAGTATTGTTCAGTCAGAAGGTTAGTGGTGTCGTCATCGTTGTTGGTCGGGCCGTTAAGACCTAGCAATTGGGAAACTCCAGTTTTGACTTGACGAATAGAGGCTGCATAACGGAATAAGTTTTAGGATTAGAGGCAAGTTTGTTCATAAGCTTTGTCTGGTACTGGAGCCTATCTTCTCTCATAGCCTTTGTGCATATGTTTCTGTTATGTTTATATTGCCAGTACGCTCCGTCGTTGTCAGTTCGTTTGTATTCCGCCCAACAGTGCCTTTTGCGGCTTAGCAGGCGAAAGGTACGGTTCTTGATTATTGTAGGTGGCTTGCGGCTTTTGGGAACCGTTTGAGAAACTGTATGGTTTGTAGCACGTAAGAGCATGTGTAGTAAGAAGTCCCAATGCCCGTCCACGTCGAGTCGGGGATGAACATCCCAAACCACCTGGTGTAGATAGTCGTGTAGAGCTGGCACATTCAACCGTTTAAAGTTCCAACGCGAGATATTGGTGGAGTATCTTAGCTTAGTTTTGATGACAAAACTGAAAGCCATGACGGCATGATCACTTTTTCCCAGGGGAGCCAAAATTCGTGCAATCCCAAGTCATCGATAAGGTTGAAGAACCAAGGTTCAATTGAGCTGTCGCCTCCAGTATACGTGTGTTCCGCGAAGTTGATTCTAGGGAGATTAAAATCCCCTAGAATCAGGATGTGTGTGAATCCGAGTCGAGTAGAGTGGGATAGTCCTTCCAGCATACGACTATCGTACTCGATGTCGCCAGTTGGCTTCCTGTAAATGACTCCAACTAGACACCTCGAAGTACTAGACAATCTTACAGAGCACCATATAGATTCCTCAAGATTGTTAAACTCGAGGTTATGAACTTGATGCACCTCCAAGCATGAACGTATGTAAACAGCTACTCCGCCCCCATATCCTGATTTTCTGTCATTGCGGAACAAAGACATCCTAGGTAATGCTAACTCGTGGTCTGAGAATTGAGAAGATATCCAGGTCTCGGATATTCTTATCAGATGGGCCTTATTAACATTACTAAGTTCACGTACTTCATCCAATTTGTTTGGTAGACTAGCGGCGTTCATATATAAGCAGTTTATGCTTTCGATTTGAAACGCGTGAGCTTCTTCCTGTTTGTCTGTATGGGCCTTACGTGAATGGACAGGTAGCCCACCTATATGAGGTTTGCCGAGGTGGTAGGCCCTGTCCTTTACACATTTTTTGTCGTCTAGACAGTTCACAAGTGGAATGGTCAGCTCCAACTTGCCTTTATGTTTGGTTCTAACTTCGTATGGCCTGCCCGGGTGCATGTGGATTGCAGGTGGCAGTCGACGTCTGTTGGCACGAAATGCTTCCAGAGTTGCGGCCGCCATGTGTGAAGATGGGAAGGTTATCTTCATTAGACGGGGTCTAGAATCACCATCCTTCTTGGCTAGTCTCGTCACATGCTGAGTCAGAATGTTTTTGAGCCTCAAAGACTGTTTGATGAATTTCCATTCCTTGATGTCAGAGTTTGATTGAATAGGGTCCGTATATTCCGGTATATTTTGCATGATTATATTCCTCCCATGAAAAAACTGATCGCGAATTTCTTTGGGGATGTTCCGGATGAAGTTGCGCTCAGAAAACGGTATATCAAACAGTATTCTTACATTCCCATCTGACTTCAGTAAATGACTCGCTGGTAGGACATCCTCTACGTCAGTAGCATTCTTAAGTGTTAGACGAAGTAGCCTCGGGTGATTTTGATGCTTAGATTCCTTTCCTCGAGTGAGCCGTCTGACTGTCAAAGGCTCTATCCTTGGAAGTCCAAGTTTCTTGTTCAATTCTCCCCAGAGCATCCTATCATTTTTGTCCTGCAAACTGAGAGGAAGGTCAGGATTGAAGTTCATGACTATGAGAGAGTCGTCACGAACCGTTTCTGTCGTCCCAGGTTCAGGCTTAGCACCTTGTTGTTTGGAGGTCGAAGCACGTTTATGAATCCTTGGCTCTTTGATGACCGGACGGACAATTTTGGGGGTAGACTGTGCGACCAGATCACCAGTTGACTTCCGTTCAACAGCTGGGATGTTCAACTTAGACTGTGACACCTGGTCCTTTTTAGCTTTTTTGACATGGGCCCAATCACCTACTGAGTTTTTGTGAACCACTGTCGCTGTGAGACCCAAGTTTGCTGAGGGAGTCGAGTACCGTCGTCGTAAACATGGCGCTGAGTTTCAGAGTGTCATCATTGGTGCTGTTGCTTGCTCCGTCGTTGGTAGACCTATCGACATCCCTGTTCTCGTTTTCAATGCGCTTTCTTGTTTTTCTACCCATTTTTTGACTGTCTTTTTCCAAGTTTGCCGACAACTTACTCTGCAGACCTTTCAGTAGGACAATGATATTACTCAGCAAGACTGCAGCATCCGTGCTGCACATAACGCATTCCCACTTATGACCTGGCTTGCTGAGTCTGATATAAGCAGTT